ATCCCAGTCCATTTTAGTTTGCTGATTCCTAAAATGTCAGTGTCTACTCTTGCCATCTCCTGTTTAACCACTTCCAGTTTGCCTTGTTTCATGGACCTAACATTCCAGTTTCTATGCAGTATTGCTCTTTACAGCATCAGACCTTGCTTCTATCACCAGTCTTATCCACAACTGGGGGGGTGTTTTTGCTTTGGCTCCGTCTCTTCATTCTTTCTGGAGTTATTTCTCCACTGATCTCCAGTAGCATATTGGGCACCTGCTGACCTGGGAAGTTCATGTTTCAGTATTGTATCTTTTTGCCTTTTCCTACTGTTCATGGGGTTCTCAAGGCAAGAACACTGAAGTGGTTTGCCATTCCCTTCTCCAGTGGACCACATTTTGTCAGAACTCTCCACCATGACCTATCTGTATTGGGTGTTCCTACACGGCATGGCTCATAGTTTCATTGAGTTAGACAAGGCTGTGGTCCATGTGATCAGATTGGTTAGTTTTCTGTGATTGTGGTTTTCAGTCTTTCTGCCCTATGATAGAGAAGGATAAAAGGCTATGGAAGCTTCCTGATGGGAGAGACTGACTGAGGGGGAAACCAGGTCTTGTTCTGATGGGCGGAGCCTTGCTCAGTAAATCTTTAATCCAATTTTCTGTTGCTGGTCTGTGTTCCCTCCCTGCTGTTTGACCTGAGGTCAAACTCTGGTGGAGGTAATGAAGATAATGGAGACCTCCTTCAGAAGGTCCCATGCACTGCTGCACTCAGTGCCCCCCACCCTGCAGCAGGTTGCTTGTGGTTATTTTTGCATTTGGAGATGTAATTTCAGAAAGTTGCCTTTATTGCAAAGGAAAGACAGCTACCCAAATTTGGACATCAATGATATTGGTGTTTCTGCTGATTCATGGTTTACATTTGGTTCACTGGTGTTGGCAGGGTCTGTGTGAAGTGAAAGTCGCTGAGTCGTCTGACTATATAGTCCATGGAATTCTCAGGCTAGAAAATGGGAACCTTTCCCTTCTCCAGGGGACATTCCCAACCCAGGGATCAAACCCAGGTCTCCCACCTTGTAGGCAGATTCTTTACCAACTGAGCTACAAGGGAAGGGCTGCAAATACTTGTTTAATGAGTAGAGGAGCAAAGTGCCTTAGGTGCCCAAGGGAGAGCAGCTTATTTTGCCTGAGAGTTTGGAAACGTCTCACCAGAGGAGGTGATCTTTGCTCTGAGTCTTAAAGGTTGAGTAGTAGTTGATGGAGTAAAGGAGTGGAGGCTTTGGTGGTTGTCAGGAGACTCTGAAAGAACAGCATGTGCAGAAAAATCAGGGAGATGTGGGAGGGCCACCCAGAAGCTGGGCTGGAGGAGGGGAGAAAGGTTGCCATGAATGATGGCCCTGGTGTGTCAGAGTGAGGAGCTTGGGCACAGAGTAAGACTGAGGAAAGAAACTCTGGAAATGGAAGAGGACACTAGTGATAAGGAGAACACTGAATTGGTTTTTTTTTTTTACAGTGGTGGGCTGATTTAGGAAACAGTTGAGTGCCAAGTCTGATTGCAGGGACGTCAAGATAAATGATCTCTGGGAAGCTGGAAAACTGAAGGCAGAGATAATGACCAGGACATGAGGAACAGATGTTCCTTGACCCCATTGAGTACATGGCCTTTTTGTTGCTGAATATGGTCAACTAGGAGAACATGGTATTATATTTATAAACAACCTCTTAAATGGAAGTGCATTTATAGTTTGCATTAAATTCATCCTGAATGGTCACTTCAACTGGACTGTAAAGGGGCAGTAGTGAGGCAAAACGTTGAGTTATGCAAATCCAGGAGGTTATCCTCTCTTCTCCCATGGGGTCACTGGCAGCTCCAGCCCACCCCTCCCCATGGTACTCAGAACCAAGGGAAATTCTGCCGAGTCTGTGCCTGCTCTGTGTGGTAACCACATTCGTGAGAAGGTTCTTGATTTCTCTGTTCCTTGAGTAAGGAAGTTAACCCAGTCTTTTGACAGATAGTAAGCCCACCTGAAAAGCTGCTGGACCTCACTTTAGGGAAGAATTCAGCATAAAATATTTAGGTTTGGGGCTGCAGTGAGAGAGAGTCCAGCAGCTGGAGGGGCTCAGAGAAATGCTGGGTAATGGTGATAAGGATGTAAACTCCAGTGGGGCTGGAGAAGAGACACAAGGAAAAAGCAGATTCAAAAGGCATCTTTCAGATAAACTTCTTAAGATTTTATGATTCCTGGGAGATCAAAAAGGTTGAAAACCGTGCCCAGGAAACTCAACTACAAGTTATCTCCCTTGTGTCTCTGTTAACAGCTTCCTGATTGCTGGCTTTTTATTAGAATCACCTGGCGTTGGAGATGGAGCCCTTAAAAGTACAGATTGCACTGCTCTCCTCTCTCCCTTATAAATTATAAGTGTCCCAGCTTGGCTTTTGGACACAGCCATATTTGGGAGTCACCAGTCTTGACCTCAGAAGGCAAATAAGCGTGGGAGTGTATTAATTAGTTTATAGATTCAGGTAAATGTTACAGAGACGGGAATAACACTGGCTTAAAATACCATTGAGAATTCTCTCTTTTGCACTTGTGCCTGTAATTGGGATCTAGCTTGATCCTGTCTTTCATGGATCTGAACACTGTTGATCTGTGGGGTTAGGTGCTATGATGAGAGAGAGGATGTTACTCTCACACTCATGGTCTGAGAATGCCATGCTGCCGCGTCATCAAGCCTGGTAACATGGTGGAGG